AACAAAGGCAATGAGAAACACAGATGCTCAAAATAAAAAAAGAACAAACGTATAAATATATATTTTATCAAAAACAGTAAAATCTAAATTATGTTTTAAAATATATAATTTATTGGAACTAAGCTGAAAAAATTAATATGAAGGTGAATGAAATGATAAAACATCAGGTAAAGTTCGTCTTTATTTATTTATATATTTCTGCTTTAATTTCTAATTATGTCAGTGTCGGTCCTCCGTACAGAAGCTGCTGAGTCAGAGGTTACCATGGTGAATCCTGACATTAGAGGGGAGTAAAATTAGCCTCTAACTGTTTAAAAGTTGTGTTAAAATTAAAGCTGCAGCGAGACGAAGCCTGAGTTTAATTTCAGGTTTTATTTTTCACAAACAGCTGCAGCTGCATTTAAACACACTCAGTGATTCTGCTGACTCAGGCCTTCTGCACAGTGTGTGTGTGTGTGTCTGTCACCCTGCATGACTAACTGGATTTTAAAACCTAAACACAATCAGCGCAGCAACAACAACAAACAAAGAGTTTGCCAAAAGCCAGTGAGCCTGCTGTTCTCTCAGCTGTGACTCTAATCTGATCAGCAGGAAGCTGAAAAAGAAAAAAGAAAAAAAACGTCGCAGATCAAACGAGCAGCTCGTTTTAAAGTGGAAACAAGAATCAGACAGGAAGGAAAATGATCTGTAACATGTAAACAAACAGACGAGCGCAGATCTAATCTGATGTACAGCAGCAGTGTAACTTCAGCTCTGCTCAGAGTTCAGTCAGCCGAAGAAATCACCGTCGTTCAGCTTCAGCTCCGAGGCTTCACAGGAAATTAACAAACAAATAGATTATTTTATAACTTGTTGTGTTTTGTGTATTGTTGGTGTTGATCTCCAACATCACATCAGAAACACACAAAAAAAAACACATTTTCTGCTAAAATACAGTCTGAACACAGCTAAATGACTGCTGAAATCAGCTGAAGAAGCTGAAACTGAGCTAACGTTCCAACGTCCTCAGCTACAGCTAAAAACATTAGAACATTAGCTAAAATCTAGTGGTAAATATACGACAACTGCTAAAGCCTAAAAGTACGAATGAATTGTAGCTAAAAGCTAATGTGGCAGAAAAGTAGCTAAAACCAAGTACAAAAAGTTAGTTTAAATCCTAAAATAGCAGAATGGTAGCTAAAAGTTGAAAGAAGTAGAAAGGCACCTAAAAGCATAAGAACAGTAGCTAAAGCTAAATGTTGGCTTCCTAAGAGTTAAAAGTAGCAGAATGATAGCTAAAAATCTAATAGTAACAGAAAACAGCTAAAACCAAGTATAAAAAGTTTGTTTCAATCCTAAAATATCAGAACGGTAGCTAAAACAAATAGAAAGGCAACTAAAAGTATAAGAACAGTAGCTAAAAGCTAATGTAGCAGAAAAGTAGCTAAAACCAAGCTAAAGACCAGTTTAAAGCTAAAAGTAGCAGAGGTCGCTAAAAGCTGAAACAGTAGAAAGGCAACTAAAAGCATAAGAACAGTAGCTAAAGCTAAATGTCGGCTTCCTAAGAGTTAAAAGTAGCAGAATGATAGCTAAAAATCTAATAGTACCAGCAAACAGCTAAAACGAAGTACAAAARGTTAGTTTAAATCCTAAAATAGCAGAATGGTAGCTAAAAGCTGAAAGAAGTAGAAAGGCAACTAAAAGTATAAGAACAGCTAAAGATCTATGGCTGGGAAAAGGCTAGATAAAGCTAAAAAATARCAGAAGAGTAGCTAAAAGCAGCTGAAYGGCCAGTGAAAGTATAAAAACTGTAGCTAAAAGCTAAATGTAGGAAAATACAGCAGAAAAGTAGCAGAATAACAGATAAAATTTAAAGACAATGGGCTAGCTTAAAGCTAATAGACCTAGTAGGTAAAAGCTAAGAGTACCCGAAAATTGCCAAAACTAACTACAAAATGACAAGTTTAAAGCTAAAAGTATAAAAACGGTAGTTAAAAAGTAAAGTGAGGTAAAGGCTGACTGAATGCTAAAAGTAGCAGAAGAGTAGCTTAAAGCTAATGTAGCAGAAAATTAGATCAAACTAAATATAAAGAGGCTAGATTAAAGCTAAATGTAGCAGAACAGTAGCTAAAAGTTATAAGTTAGAGAAAGACAACTGAAAGAACAGTAGCTAAAGCTACAACTACTGAAGGCTAGTTCCATGCTAAATAGAAGCAGAACAGCAGCTAAAAGCAGCATGAGCCGTTGGTTTCCACAGCTAACATCATTATTCTGTGACTTTTGGCAGATTTAACACSAAACTGTCTTTACTGAGTCCTCTAAAGTAAAAATCCAGACTGAGAAAATAAAGCCGTCACACAGCCGAAGACGGTTTGTTTTCAGTTGTTGTTTCTTACCTGGTTCCCGTAGCAACAGCTGAGCCATGGCCTGCGAGCTGCCGGCTGAGTTTTCAGCAACACACTGATAAAATCCTTCGTCCGACTTCACCAAACCCAGAATCTGCAGGTTGGTGCCGTCCTGAGGGACGATGGAGACAAAAACATGTCAACAAGCTGTCTGAAGACATTATCACCAATCAGAACCAATCAGCACCAATCAGAACCAACCAGAACCAATGAGAGCCAATCAGAACCAATCAGAACCAATCAGCACCAATCAGCACCAATCAGAACCAATCAGAACCAATCAGAACCAATTAGAACCAATCAACATTGACATTTTACTCATAACACATCAGTTTGACAAACTATTCCAACTCTTTGATTGAACAGTACTACTTCCTGTTAGAACACATCACTTCCTGGTATAAAACATCACTTCCTGGTATAAAACATCACTTCCTTGTTAAAAAAAATCACTTACTGTTATTAATCATCACTTCCTGTCATAAAACATCACTTCCTGGTATAAATCATCACTTCCTGTTATAAAACATCACTTCCTGATATAAAACATCACTTCCTGGTATAAAACATCACTTCCTGGTATAAAACATCACTTCCTGTTAGAAATCATCACTTCCTGTTTCTGCTCACCACGATCTGGAAGTAGTCGCTGGGGATGACCTCCTCGCCGTTCTTCATCCAGCGGACGGTGGGCGGYGGGTTTCCCGTCACGGCGCACTCCAGCTCGATGTCGGTGGACTCGGAGGCGAAGGTGTTGGTGGGGTAGTTGAGGAACTGAGGGGGAACTGCAGGAAACAGGAACATTAACACAATCAGCTKATTACAAACTAATTTAAACAGTTACAAACAGACAGATGGGAGGAAGCCAGCAGCTAAATGTGTTTGATCTTATTTCCTGTTTGGATCGTTAGCTCCGCCCCCTGACAGCTCTGCTGATTCACTGACATGTTCAGGTCTTTAATAAAGACTTGTTGATGTTTGCAGACTTTATTAGAGAGACTGATTCTGTCCAACAACTACACCTCAATCTG